ATCCACTGAAGACTTGTATACAGGGGTTATTTAACATAGTGATTACGAATTATGACATTTATTTTTGGCGCTGGCGCTAATGGATGACACTACGGTTACCTGCGCTCTGCTAAGGCTGAGCCCAGGAGGTAATCGTAGTGTCCTCCTTAGCGCCAGCGCCAAGAATGAATGTCATATTCGTAATCAGGATGTTAAATTACCCCTGTATACAAGTTTTCAGCGGATTTGGTGATCTAGGCACTTCATAAATGAGCCCGCAGCCAAAAGCCAGCGCGTCCAAACGGCATTAGCCAGGAATTCCCACCCTTCAACCCCAACTACGGTGCTTTTTTCGACGGGAGAAAAGGGACACGCTACTGCAACTGCGGACCCATTCAGCTTTTACATGACAATGATCAGGATCTTGCGGAGGTAAGTGTATGGCTTGTTTTTAATTGTCAGCAACGCGAGAGAAATGCTTGGCAGTCATTAGAACCCTGAGGCACTTCGGCTAGGTGGGGGCAGTGAAGCTTAGCGAAGCTTGGACAGATCACCTGTCACCTTGTGAAAACCTACAAAAAGCTGTAACTGGAGCGGATCTCTTGTACCACTTCGCAGCTTCATAAAAGTTCACAGGCGCCACCGAAGTTAGTCGTCGCCTACTGGGTAAAGCAGCAAAAAAACGCCCTCCCCTCCATCCAGCCAAATAGCCCCAAATCCTTCGATTTGCGCCGAGTATCTGATCAAGTCCCACTCAGAAATGAGCAGCTACTTGCTTGTGTTTTCATCGATTGCATAGACAATATACCGGTGCTACACAACAGATAAAACAAGCATTAATATCTCACCGTGCTTTCCTGTGGGAATAAAGCCAAAGCGACCGGTAAGCTGGCAGCAAAAGATAACGTGCAGACAATGGCGTTCACAAACAGATGACGAACAGGAGAACCACTGACCCATTTGTACCTATATTGAAAAAGTTTAAAACCACCATCTAGGCAATTGAAATTAGCCGCAAGAAGTTCAGTATCCTCAGTCGGTTCACGAAAGATTCCCCCTCGTAGCTGACGTGGACGTGGCAGTGCAGATGTCATCAGACTACCAAGATCCTCACAAAAATAAATCACCTCTCAAGAAAAGGCATTATGCATGGGGGAAGTAGAAGAAGCGGCACAGGTAAGAATGCTCGCACAAGAGTCGTGTCAGTAACAGCCTAAAGCGAAAAATGTTTGAAATGAGATTTCGCGTGAACATCAAACTGACCTGCTTGGCAGCGGCTTTTGACACGCCGACGACTTTTCCACCTTTCTCATATACCTCGATGCCAGTCCGCAATTCATTCCATCGCATACATACCACATTCACCGATGAGGCCAAGGACGTGGCAGGCAGCGGGACGAAACGCTTCAAACAAACGTCCATCCAGCTCTACTGAAGCGCGTCCGAATACCTCTATTGAATCTGCTATCTTTACGACAAATTTCGCGATGTCCGGATAGGCGGAATCTTGTGGCGATGGCATCCTCCTCACTGATACAATCTTAAGTCTCCGCCCATCCGAGCATCGCAAAATGTGTTGTCACTTATTGATTTTTGCGAGCATATTGGCAGAATTGCCTGCTACAGCTCGCGCTCTCCATTAGATAGTATCTGGAATGAAGATCACTGTAGGAAAGTATACGCAGCGAACAGAGAGTGTGGCGCATATATCGGGAAAACCGCAATCAAAGTGTACATCGTTACGCGCTAAGGTAGCGACAGCCGCACGCTGAGTAGCAGCAGTAAATCACCTTTTTTGAACTGAGCGTAAAGCAGCAAACTCGTGTTTGAAGGACCAGGATCGCTGCCAATGTCGTAACATGGTCGTCGTCCCTGTGGTGGCAAGTAGTGTAAGGCCCACAAGCGAGAGACTGTCCCTTTCTCAAACTCCACAGCGGAACATTATATGAGCTACACCCGAGTGGAAGCTCTAATTCTAACGCCCGCCAAGTTGGACCGCCCACTTGCTAGATGCCCTCCCACGGAAGGCCGATCAGTGTTTTTTGTCGGGCGGAGGTCATTAATCGGAATTGCATCTTCTCCTTGCTGACAGCGCTGCTCGTGCCCATTATAATTCTGCTATTTATTCCCGTACATTTTGCTTCGTTAGGAGCACAAGCCGCAAATGTATAAACACGTAACCCAATTTCGTGACGTGCACAAGTTCTACTCACTACACTTAGCAGACGAGGCTAACCGTAAACCCCAGAATTCAGACGCCAAGTCCTTTGAGAAGGTGTGACTGTCAGGGAGCGATTTTGTTTATGGTGTTCTTGAGGACTCTTCTTGCTTTTTTTCTTCTTTGGGGAATTACTTATCAGCTACTGTTTCATAATTGAAAAGCAACTATCCATGACACTTTTATCGCGGAGCTGTCTTTAAGGAAGAGCTTTGACTTCGCGATGATGTACGTCAAGGCCCTTGATCGCGAAGTCGAACGCCTAGGTCTCGACACTAATAAATCCGCTCGAAATGCTTCTTTTGTCCTGCTCGTCGCAACGCAACACTGACAGTTTGCGCACCCATCTTCCTTTTTGTTGATCGCGACCTCCGACGCAGAGGAGATTTGGGTGGCAAGTGATCCGAAGCTTGTTCTACTATGATGCTTGCGTCTGCTTAACGCCGCACCGCATTCCAAAGGTCACCGTAAGGTTCAAGGACCTATAGGTGGGGTGCTGTCCGTTACGCCGCCGAGGCCGCATTTTACCCTCTCTGCTTGAAGGCACCCCTCAAGATGGATCTTTGCTAGGTGGACAATATGCAGCTGTGGAAGGGTGGAGCTGAGAGGGGTGTCACTTTCACCACTCGAAAGTGCGCCCAAATGAAGCTGAAGAGTTGTGATAGCTGGGTGCCGTTTCAGATCCACTAGTTATCCAAAATGTGTGACATAAGCGTCAATGCCAAGATCCAGCAATGAGGAACATGAACGGCAAGTTGCCTATCGCGGCTAAGTGCGAAGCACAAGCAAACGCGAGAGGGAGCAGGCAGCTAGCGCGTTTGACCATAGTAAGTGTGCCTACGTCGTGCGGTACGTCGCGTCTGTTGTCTTGCCTTTGGGTGGAGCAGGAAACGGGCAGTCGGTGACTATCACGGTCCTCCTGCTTCACTACCCTCTAGCGTTCAGCGCACTTTCCAGTCGGTGACGAAAATGGCTCACTTCTACAACTGCGGCCCGCTCACCTTGCAATGGCAGGGTGAGCCGTGTAAGTGTGAGGTGTGGGCTCAAGACCCGCATAAGGTCAGGTGCCTTGCGTGCGACTCAGCATTCTTGTGGTGACTG